CCGCGGACAATTGTCCGAGCTGTCAGTCCATCCAGGACGTATTGCGAGCGTCACGGTCGTGCATTCGAGTCCGTCTTGCGTATGCATTCGATGGGCTGTGATACACAATCAAAGTCACGCGCGACTTTTGTCATCGAGGTGGCCGGAAATAATGTTAGGCAAATACATGCAAATATACTAACAGGTTCTAATTTCAAGGAAATTCTGCACGTTTTCACTGGGTCTGAGATCTGAGTCGCCAAAGGCGCCAGAAATGAACAGGTGCTTGTGTTGGCGAAGGACAAGTCAGCTAGGGACATCGAAAGAGCACCATAACATACCACACTATAGCATCGGCCAGAGTCGATCATTAGCATCAGACATGTGACGAACGTAGGATGAGACCGAAGCAAACCAGCGACGTCTTATACGAAGACCATGTAGTGAGCCCAGACGATCAGATACGCCACGAACTCTCTCGTATGTTGAGGAAAGCGTGATCGTTGCCTTGAGTGGCTAGTCAACAGATACAAACAAGTCAAAAGACATGTAAACAGTGAATGCATTCCGGCAGCGCGAGATACCTTGCTGGTCGCAAGGTAACCCCGCCCCTACAAAGCTTGAACAAACAAACCCAAAACGGATAAAATATCACGTGACCTCCGCGCCCCTCCGGTCTCCGCGCCAGGCTCCTAAACCATCCGTCCTTAGCGTTCTCGCAGGACCCCTGAAAATACCGATAGATGCCGGTGCCAGTCCTAACAAAAAAAGCGGCTCGGGCAAGGGACGCCGGAGCCAGTCTGAACGTAGGTAGGGGTCTCAGCCGGCCAACCCGGTTTTTTAGTCCGGACACCAACAGCACCCCAGCAGTGAGGCCGGTTGTAGTCCGGACATGGTCAGCAACCCGCCACTTCGTCGCGACTAGTACATTATCCAGTGCCTTGCATAAGAAACTGAACATCGCATTTCCGCGCGCGTTGTTTGTCCGCGCCAAATATACCCTTTTCGGGTATCGGCAAATGTGCGGCAAAGACCCATCGAGAGAGATGGTAGCTAGGCATACAGCTGGGGGCAGAGTATAATGATTTACAGCCCTTAGTGTAGTTGTAAAATATACATTTCATGCATCCTCTGAAGCCTTTCGAGCCCTCTCGGGGCATCTGCGAGTCCCTGCCCAACAAATGGTCCCGCGAGAGGCCTTCCGGACCGTCTTTGCTATTGCGCCCCTGCGTAAACACGACCAAATATTACCTTTTCGAGAAGAATATCATGTGACCTCCGACCCCTCCGGCCGCGCCACTAAAAATAACTGGACCCAGCCGTATTAAGTAAAAGCCAATTACATTGCCATCATATTATTTCAATGTGGGAGATTCATATCGCTTCTTTAGTCTAGTGGTAATGCGGCGTGCATTGACTCCTGGACATCTGGAGTTCAATTCCTGCTTGTGCGCACTTTGTGGATTTGTGCTTTTAGGGTTAGGGTTTATTCACTTTCCTTACTGTTGGCTTTTATATTTACCTTGTCAACCACATGTATCACAGCTATATACATTTCAATGAAATTCTATTTTGCCCCATCTATATGACCCTCTTAGTCCAGACTTGAGACACTCTTACTGGCCGGACACGCGCGCGGCAGGAAGACCGCATTTGCCGGCATCATGTGACATTCTTCTCGATATGGTGTATTTGTACATGTTTGCACGGGGGCGCAGTAAAGCTACCTCTTCCGGACCTACCTGAAAAGGGTATATTTGGTGCGAACAAACAACGTGCGCGGAAACGCGATGTTCAGTTTCTTATGCAAGGCACTGTAATTAGATTCATTACCCCGTATGGTATTTCTCACCAAATAAGGATAGACATGCCTCCCCTGTAGTGGTGAACCCTCGGGTACCCCTTAGTTGCACGGAATTATACAGTTTACGCTGAAATCCGGAGGCACACATGGAAGACACAGCTGGGTGCCGGATGGCTCCAATATCGCTGCGGTATTGTATCTCGCCGTCCAGGGCTACAAAGCCATGAACGGGCGGGTATTTCGCACTGTCTCTCAGACCCTGGCAATGCTCGCTGCCTGCTGAATCACTCAATTTGCCTACGTCTATCCTTTGCATGCTGGAGACAAGCCCGAAGGCTCTTCCGTTATCTATTGAACTTTCTACCTCAGACTATGCACATTTCAGGTTTTCATACACCCTAGTATATATGTCTAGTGTCTAGAATGACTTGTGGACTACAGCGGGTGATTTTTGCTAGAGGCCGGGGCAATAGTCCGGACATGAATCTGACCTTGGCCGAGGCCGGTATTTTATCCGGACATAAAGGCGGGGGGCCACCAGAAAAAGTCCGGACATGACAAAATCGAGTCTTGCACTGGCATCTATCGGTATTTTCAGGGGTCCTGTTCTCACTCCTCGTCTAC